CTTATCTGCTCACTGACCAAGTGCCCAGCCAGGAGGGCCTCTGTGCCCACGTCACAGCGCTGGTGTCTCCCAGCCAGGTCTCCATAAAGCATGCCAGGTCGACTGCCTCATCCAATAAGAGGTCATGGATGATATGGGTTTTATTTTTTACCACCTGGCATTGCAAAGGAGTAGAGTAAGGGTCTGTGGAATGGATGGTATGTTCTCCAAGTTATTCTGGGAAACAGAGTGAACTGAAGGAGGGATAGGTATTAAGCATCGATCCCTTCTTCTTTTGTAACATTTTTTTCACTCTGTTGCCGCCATACCTTCCCTTCCCCCACACAACCTCGATCCCCGCTCCCAGATTGTTCCTGGCTTCGTTACATGGTGGCAATGACAAATAATCCAGCTACACTCCCATCCCGCAGTAGATGCAAGGGCAATATCACTTAAAAATAGGAAGGAGGAGGATTACACTACAATACTGTGATTACCATATATTACATGAAATTGGTAGATGATAAATACAAAAGGCTTGATCTTTAAGTACTCTAGTACTTTGTCCTAGATTGATGATGATGATGATGATGATGATGATATTTATTTATGTCTTGCTTTTCTCTCAAAACTGGGAATCAGGGCAGCTTACAACAATAGCAATAGCAATAGCAAGTGCATCTCTATACTGCTCATCAGTGCACCAAGTACTCCCTAAGTGGGAGTTAATTGCCCCCAACAAGCTGGGTATTCATTTTAGCAATCTTGGGAGGATGCAAGCCTGAGTCGGGCTTGAGCCCTTGGTTGGTATTGAACTCACAACTTTGCAGTGACTGCAGTACAGGCATTTAACCACTGTGCCACCAGGGCTCTTTTAAACATTATAAAAAACAACAGTACAGATATAAAGATATAGTGAAAAATAAACTTTGACTTCAGCATAGAATTAAGATTGAGAGATGAAATGGAGAAAAAAGGGTTTAAATTGTCATTGGCTTACTTATCAACAACTTCAATAAAGATTTGCGATGGACAAAAAAAATGGAAGATTTTGACATGAAAGATGACAAATTAGGAGACACTTTAATTAAGGAAAAGGGGGAAATGATATCCAAAATCTATGACATACTATTAAGATTACAATTAGAGAAAGAACAAGTAACTAACAACATAGTTAAATGGACTCAAAATATTCAAAATACAATAACATTAGAACAATGGGAAGAATCTTGGAGAAAGACACAAAGATTTACTAAATCTCAGGACCTTAAAGAAAATTATATCAAGATATTCCACAGATGGTATCTTACCCCAGATAAAATAAATAAAATGTATAAAGAAGTTGACCCAACATGTTGGAAATGCAAAGCAACACAAGGATCTTTTTTCACTTATGGTGGAACTGTCCCATTATTAAAAAATACTGGATATCAATAAAGTCTTAAATGTCACAAATTATAAGGAAATCTATCCTATGAGACCTGAATTATTTTTGCTTAACATGACATCGGTATTAGACAAAGCAATTAAAAAAGAATGTTGGAAATTAATTTAATATATGGTGACATCTGCACGTGTTCTCTTAGCAAAATATTGGAAAGGGATAACAATGTCATCAATTGAAGAGTGGCTAATAAAGCTACTGGATATGATTGAACTAGATAAATTTACATGCAGACTAAATAATAAGTTATTAAAAGAAGTAGAAAAAGATTGGATACCAGTGATAAAATATTGGAGAAAAGATTGGCATGGCTTGACTATATAGTGTCTTTCAATGAATGGAAAATGAAAATTTAAAAGAAGACTGTAAACTCAATATAAGCATATAGTTTGGGTTTTTAATAACCTTCTCTTTGATTGGTATACTTTTATTTTGAAATCTTTGTAACTTTGAGTGATTTTATGGTAACTTTGTAAGAAGCAGATCCACGAAAAACTTCTTGAAAAAGTAGATTGCTGTTGATAGTGTGATTTAAATACTACATAAGGTAAAAAGAAAATAACAAGAGTTAAAAAGAAGTAATTGGTTCTCAACTATTATGAATGTAAAAGGTTTTCATTCTCACTAATATAACTAATTACTAGAAATGTCTAGTATGTAAGTAATACCATTAGCTATGTTTTATTTGTATGTTATAAAGGTTATTAATAAAATATTTTTAAAAAACCAACAGTACAATTAAAAGCATACAAAAAATAGTAGATTAAAACAGAATTAAATGACTGCAATGATTAAAAGAAATTACATGTTAAAATATCAAATAGTTTAAAAAGATAAAAATCTTTAAAACACATCAAAACAAAAGAACATCCCAGCCCATTCTTTAAAAGCTTTGTGTTTTGAATGCCTGTCTAAAGAGGAAAGTCTTCATTTGTTGCCGGAAGGCCATCAAGGAAGGGGCCATTCTGGTCTCCCTGGGAAGGGAATTCCACAGTCTAGGGGCAGCCATAGAAAAGGAGCTCTCACGTGTCCCCACCAACTGTGCTTGTGATGGTGGTGGGATGGAGAGAAGTGCCACCCCTGAGGATCTCAGAGCCCTGGTCAGCTCATATAGGGAGATACGGTCTGCCAAATAGCATGAACCTGAGCCATATAGGGCTTTATAGGTCATCACCAGCATTTTGAAATTTGTATGTCCCACAGTAAGCATATGGAAAATTAACAAAAATACCGTACGTCAAATATGTGTGTGTATTATATCTGTATTTCAAAATTTGTTTACAACAGCATGTCTTTTAACATTTTGTATAAGTCATTTTCCTTGGTGATTTTTTTAAGCTTCATTTTGTCCTTCACCTAAACAAAGCATCCAACTGGAGTATCAGTGCAATGATGGCATTTCTAGTGCTGCCAGTCTTCCAGATTGGTGAAGCCAGAGGGAACCAAAGTTGTCATTCTCTACTCAAAATTCTATGGTTTGCCTTTATGACATGCTCCACTACTCTGGAAAATGCAAAAATTAAGGCTGGCTGAAACCTGAATCTATCAGAGTCGTGCTTTCTGATCTGGCTTGGTTTCAGAAAACAAAACAAAACAATAATGCATGTTTATATTATCATTGAACCGTCTTGAAATGGCATGTCATTTTTAAAGAATTTGCACTTATTAATTCACATTATTCTGCATATTTATTCATTAAGTCTGTGAACTTATCTGTCTGTATATGCTATTTGCACAGCTATCTCCTAGTATCTGCTATGTGCACATGAAGTTTGTGATGGTTTTTCATATAGTCCTACTCTTCATGAAGTCCTTTTTGTAGTAGACTGGTCACACACATCATTTTGGTGATATACTGTAGTTTGAGGTTTTTAATTGCAGCACCATGGCTGTAATCATGTTGGTGTCATATATCTGTATAATTTCCCTAACATGGGTGGGTTTTTTGTTTTTTGTTTTGGGTTTTTTGCTATTCTGCAGTAGACATATTTAATTAATGGTCGCATGGTGCCAGGATTCTGCCAGATCTGGTGGTTTGCTGTTGTCTTCTTTTTCCAATTGGCAATGTATTTAAGTTATACCATTGTATTTTGACATGTTCAAGGTATTAGCCATTTGGCCTGATACCCAATGTTGATATCCAACTATATCTTGGTAGTTCAGGTGATGGGAGTTGTAGTATTTGTTCTGGGGAAAGATAATTGTCCGGCTAGAGAATACACAGCTGTGTGTGGGAAGGATATTGTCACCAAATTTCATCAAGGTCAGTCTCATGGAAAATCTGAAAGGGCCTAAAGTGAAAGTGTAAGAGAGGAGTGGGTAAACCATAGTGTTTTTGTTTATGAGCAAATCATGGTAAAGCCTGCACATTTAAAGGTGGGGCATTGCTTACTCTGTGCTTACATGGGAATTAAGAGCCTGAACAGACTGCCAGAAATAATCCAGCTTGAGATCACTTTAACTTTACTAGGGAATCATGGGAACTGTAGTTTATTGTGACACCAGAGCTCTCTGAAAGAGAAGGCTCAATGTCTCAGAAAAAACTACAGTTCTCATGATTCCCTAGCATTGAGCCAAGACAATTAAAGTAGTCTAAAGCTGGATTATTTCTGGTAGTCTGTTCAGGCCCTAAATTAGTTCTGTCTACAGAAGTCATATTGTTAACTTCTTAAATTACTGAAATAAAGTTTTGTTGTTGTAATTGATTATTAATTTACTGAACTAAAAAAGTGGGTGATTCTAATACATGGGTGGAGTTATACAAGGGTAATCATTTCACTTGGTCCTGAATCCTTTTGTTAGCTCCAAATTAGAGTAGAACCACTGAATCAATTGCATTTACTTGTGTGTTAAGTCACCACACAACACTTGTTTCAAAGGATCCCTCAAGTTGGGACTAACCAACAGGATTCTAGCCATGTGGATGTAGCCACATTTTTGGATACTGAATAACTTTTGTGCCTTAAATGTACCACTTTATTCACTGGGATTGTTGAAAGAATCCCATAACACAATGGGAAAATATATAAGCACATTGGCAGAAACTCAATCAGTTGTATGATATTGAAATTCAGCATAGTAGTTATGTACTGCAACCACAATTACACCATTTAAATGTTGATAATATCTTATTTCAAAGGTAGAGGAAGAAACAAAGGGATAAGTAATCTTGGACTTGATTATAACCAAGCGAGGAGCTGGTCAATGGAAGTAGTTGGTACTTTAGGGGGAAGTGACCATGTAACTCTAGAATTCATAATAGTAAGACATGGTATAGTCAAATATGGACCTTGGATTTCAAGAAAGCTGATTTACAGGGAATTACTGGATGGAGTCCCATAGTTAGACATGCTAAAGAAAAAAGTAAGAGTGGGAATTCTTGGAAAATGAGTTGCAAAAGCACAATGACAAACAATCCCATGGAAGAAGAAAAATAAAAAAAATTATCAGAAAAAGTCAATGTGGCCACTTGGCAAACTCAAGGAGGAAGTGAAAGGAAATATAGAATGGAGGGAAGGATGAATCACCAAGGAAGAGTACAGATGTGTAGCCCAAAGTTGTAAGAATAGTATAAAGAAAGCTAAAGCTCAAAATGAACTAAGACTAGCTAGGCAAGCAAAGAGCAACAAAAAGCATTTCCCCAACACATTCAAGGCAAGAGAATGATGAAGGAGACAGTGGGGCTGCTGTTCAATAAAAATGGCAAAATGCTAACAGGTCACAGTGAAAAGACAAAGCTATTCAATGCCCATTTGCTTCAGCCTCTCCCCCTCTCCCCCAAACTGTATTTCTAAGCAGCAGCAAGGGATCTTGACCACATATCAAGATAGGGAGCTAGGGATGAAACAGACCACCTTGGCAAGGGATCTTGACCACATATCAAGATAGGGAGCTAGGGATGAAACAGACCACCCAACAGATAGGGAGCTAGGGATGAAACAGACCACCCAAAAAGGGTAGATTGGGGCCACTCTCGAGCCACTTGCCCTGGAGCCATGGCAACTGCCTGCATGTGGCCCAATCCACCTGCCATGGTGGTTTTGAAAAGGAGCAGTTTCAGGCCAATGTCAGGGATCACCTAGCTAACCTAAATGAGTTTAAATCTGCAGGTACAAATGAACTGCATCTCAAAGCACTAAAAGAACTTGCTGATATACTCTCTGAAACCTTTGCAATAATTTTAGAGAAATCTTGGAAAGCAGGGAAGGTGACAATGGACTGGAGAAGGGCAAACATTAGTCCTCTCTTTACAAAAGGGGGGGGAGGGGGGAGATCCAGGAAACTACAGACCAGTTAGCCTAAACTCAGTACCAAGGGAAAAAACAGTGGATTACATAGGAGTCTGTCAAATTAGAAGCAGGTTTCAAGTGAAGTGCCTCAAGATTCTGTCTTAGGACCAATACTTTTCAACATTTTATCCATGGTG